TAACCCCTGGAAATGAGGTGATCGCTACCAAGCTATTTCTTATTTGTTGTGTTGTTAATTTGTGTAACATCATGATTGTAAGCTGTTATTTAAAAAAAAGTCCCGCTGGGTTTCTTGCTGGTTCTTCCCAGGACAGAGGTTTTTTCCGAACCAGTGGTAATCAAACAAAAGAGTGACTTTCAATAAGTATTATTAATAATCTATATTGAATAAAAAAGTTTCTGTTTGTTTCTATAGTGAGTAGGTATCTTTTAAACTCACAATTTTCAATGCTTCATTTTTAATATATAATTAATTATAAAATTTCATAATTAGATAATATATGAGAATACATAATTCTAATATAATGCAACTAATATACCGAATAAAAAAATTAAAATACATTTATCGTTGTACGCTGTGTGTATTTCCAAAAAATAGTTTATTGATGTTGAAAAAATACTACGTTCGTACAGAGTAGGTGGCGTCTTACATATTTCTTAAACGATATATTGTAGCAAGTCGGCGCGGCACACCAAATGCTCAAGGTCGTTCGCATGGAGTAGCCCCTTAATGCAGCCCTCGTTGCGACATCCTTGCTGTGTTTTTGGAAATTTTGGCATATATCGATCATTGGAGTTTTCTTTTGCAGAGACGCGATCTATTGTAATACATCTTTTTTGCTGGCTCACCAGTTAAAATTTGTCATTACAAGATTCTTTATCCGACAATACTGTATTTTCTTTAACAAGTTTATAGTCCAACTTTAACTTGTACTCACAGGGCTGAAAGTTTTTATGCAAGGGAACATTATGAAGTTGAAATTTATGCATTGACTTGAAAATGGTATAATCATCTGTTCAATCGAGAGATGCTCTGACTTTTGCTGAATATGCACGTCCTGCATATTCAGCAAAAGTCAGATCCAGACACGATCAAACAAGGGTCTTACTTTTCAAATTTTGTCAATTGCACGTTGACTTTCTAAAACATCGTGCTTGCTAACGACTTTAAGTCGGATTTTCAACAAAAAAGCTGTTACAAGTCGTGTTATTAATACCATTGGAAGTCACCATGCTTTTTCCCAAAGTATTTTGATTTTAGGATAGCCGATTCTGGCAATGACCATGGTAATGTCAATTAATGTTTTCAACTTCCTAATTGTGAGCCCAAGATTATTTGACTAAACATTTTGTCCTTCTTCTGTCCTTGTCCTGTTACGATTCTTTTTAAAATATTTTCATCTATATAGTCCTCAAAATATTCAAACATTTTAAAATTTGTGAGATCTCTTTGGATATAACGAGGTGTATGCAAGTTATGAATGATTGGACTAAATGTTTTGAGGCTCATTATTACAGCTGTTAAATTGTAATCTTGCAAATATCTACCTCTTTCTCGTACTCGTAACTCGTCCTCTCGTTACTCTAAAATTCGCTAGTCCCAGAGTCTATGAAGACGATGAAATAGCTGCCGACGTCCGTGGTGGTGATTATCGGTTAGCATCAGATTCGTACATGATTTCTACTGATTCGGAACTATTAAGCCGACCCGTAGCACAATTGGCACCTCGTTGGGGTGGCTCATATAGGTCGTCATCATCAGTACTGAAATCACCCTCACTTTTGAACAATTCCACAAGAACTTTTTCTGCATTTAAAACTAAAACAAAGAAATAATATATATTAAACAATGGATTTTCTAAAAATAAGTACATTCGAAATACTTCTAATTAAATTAGATAAGTGAGGTAAGGTTGCTTGAGAAAAATGTCTAAAAATGACGTCATTTCGGATGTAGCAAACTGCGCCGATGATGATCCGTAATGATAAGTTCTGCTGGGCCTGCAACCGCTACGTACGCCAGAGCAACGTATGTTAGCTTTGAACTTATGTATAGCTCGTAGAGTCTGAGCTTGGTTTTCAGCGGTAAGTTGAATACCAGGACGGGACCTAGCATCGCCCGCGCACCTCTGGCATTGCGGACGACGATGTCGACGTACGCAGTCATGCTCAGAATCCTGTCTATCCGGCATCCAAGTTCTTGTACGTGATCTCTTGGCCCTTGAGCGTGAATGGTGATGAATAGATGAATGAATGAATACACTTTTATTGTACACCACGAACAAATATACAAATGACATAACAAAAATCAGATTATACTCGTATTATGTACAATTTGGCAGCCTTATCTCTACATAGCGATCTCTTCCAGGCAACCAAAGGTGTAAAGGAATAAAACAATGAATAGGTAGATGGTAGGTGGTGCAATATAAATATACAACATATATATATCAATACATGCGATTTATTAATAATAAATGCAAAAAAAAACCATACAAATAACTAATACGAGTACATGAAATAATATAAATTACTAGCACATAATAAAAGATAAAGTAAAACAGATAATATATACATATACATACATATATATATAAATACATAAACGAACTTACATATCTACCCAAAAATACATATATAAATTACAAAATTCCTCAAACAATAATATAAAGCTGATAGATACAATAAATACATAATCACAATTTATCCTAACGATGTCCGAACGATTGAGACAAGTAATGCTCTTTAAGTAGTCGCTTAAAGATAACAATAGTTTGTGCTTCACGTATATGCAAAGATAGGGCATTCCAGAGCTTAATAGACTGGACAGTAAAAGATTTATTAAAAAATGATGATGTATTGTGAGTTCGTACACTTAAAATGAATTTTCTTGAAGAGCGTAAAGGTTCCCCCTGAAGCCCAACAAAATTAAACTTCTCCTTTAGATAGGTGATGGTAGGTTCCTGAGGCAGCGGGTGGGCAGAGCGGTCGTCTTACCAATATTGACGGCCTTTCTCCACTCGTCCAGTCATGGTGGAAGAAGCCCCAGCAGACGCTGCATCCTGACAGTAGCAATGTGGGCTCTTCTGGACGATGTAATGGTGCTTGCTATCTTCCGCGTATAGGGCCAGCTCTACATCGTTCTGCCAGGGTTGGGATCTCGTTGGTATAAGCCGCGTACAGGATCGGCAACAGACAGCTGCCCTGTGGTACGCCGGCTCTAATGGGCTTTGCTGCGAACACCGCGTCCTCTACATAGACGTAGAACTTCCTGTCTACTAGTAATGACGCCACTAGCCGCAACATAGCAGGAGGGATACTTGTTTGTTCTTCCAATTTATAGAATAACTTAGAGTGCCACACCCTGTCAAACGCCTTCGCTATATCAAGAAAGACGCCCAACGATATGCGGTCTTCGAAGTGAACCATAAGCTGCAAACGAAGTGATGATTTCAACACCATGAAATGTCAGTTTTAACAAAATATTATTAGTAGCTAGGGGACTTACAAGTACAGAATAGAAGTTATTTTCACACATCACTGACCTCGTTATACCACACCACATATTGATTTATTATAACGTAGATTTTTAACAAAATTTCTATAACAAGTGTTTTATTTCGTATCTAATGGTTGCATTTTATTTTTAGAAATCTTACTGTATTTATGGATTTAATGAAGACTTAAACCGCGACCTATTCTTTAAGAGATAATAATTTTATTGTGGCAAGTTTGCAATCATCATCATCATTAGCCCGTAAGTGTTCACTCAGAACAAGAGTCTATCCGATTTCAGGGAAGATATGCCTTAATCGCTAATTTGATAGGTAGATTGGAGATCGCAGTACGAGACGTCTCGCACCTGTGACGTTGCTTGCCATCACAAGTCTGCGTATTTAAATCCGACGTAAGCTAAATGATTACAACGCCACCTGTCGGATGCCATGAGTTCTTTTTGTAATTTTTATAGTCGCCTCTTGCGACACCTCACGGAAGAAATTGGGTTGGTGGATTCTCACGGCTCTCTTCTACGGCTAGCAATACAGTAAAAATCTATTTACAGTACAAGACATTACTACATATTATAACTTTATTCATTTATATATTAATGTTATTAGTTGTCAATGTAAGGCTCAATGATTTTTGTATACAAAGTGGCACTGTCCTGAGGTCCTGATGTGGTGGGGAGTGGGCGTTAAAACGATCTAAGCCAGGGCTTCCGTAAGTCCGGCCACATACATACGGAATTCCGTTTCGATATTCCGATTCAGAATCCCGAACGCAGCAAGTCCATATAAAATCTATGACCCGCCACACACGTACGGTAGTTTTCCGTTCGATATTTTGCGGGCAAAACAGGATTCCGTTTGTGTGTGGCCGACCCGTTCGGAATTCCGACACGGAATCTCGAAACGGAATTCCGTATGTATGTGGCGGGCCTAACTGTGCGTCGTGAGGCGTCTACTGATTGGCTGTGTCGATGCGACCGAGTCAAATGAGCGCTGGGCTCATTCTCATTCTGTTCTGTCGATCGCGGGCGGACGGCCGGCGCCGGCGTCGACCTCCCTCCGTGTATTTCCTTTTCCCCTGCGTATACATATCGTTTCAGTCGGTCAAGCTTTTGTTTTAATTACGCACGCGGAGTTTCAATATGGACTATGGATAATTTTATTCAAAGAAACCTACGTGGTAGAGCCATGCTGCAACTATATAAATAGTATAGTTGTAACACGGATAGATCGGCTCGACCGGGGAAGGACCACGCTCTCAAAGAATACTAGCGTGAAATAGCAGTTTTAGCTTGCTGTGTTTCGTATGGTGAGTGTAGAGAACCGGAGACCCTTTTTACGGGAAAAGAGACATTCCATATTAGTCCTCACGGTTGACAACGCAGCTGCATTTTGATTCGCAAAAGAAGATAGATATAGATCTCTATGGGCCACAGCAACCATTTACCATCAGGTGGACTGTGTGCTCGTTTGTCACCCTTATTCTATAAAAAAAAATAGAAAACGAAGTGAAGACTCAGGAGAAAGCAGTAAAGAAACTTCAGGAAAACGGAAGAACTATAGAAAATATGACGACCAATATTTGGATTTCGGATTTACCTACATTACTAAAGAGAATGTAGAATTTCCTTAATGTGTTGTTTGTCATAAAGTGTTGGTAGCTGAAAATATGCTTCCTAATAAACTAAAACGTCATTTGGAAACAACTCACAGTAATTTACAAGGTAAGCCGAGAGACTTTTTTGTTAGAAAATTGCGAGAACTGAAACATCAGTCCACGGCTTTGCTTTCAAAAGTATCAGTTCCTACCAAAGCATTGCTTGCCTCCTACAAGGTAGCTCACCGTGTTGCCAAATGTAAGAAGCCACATACAATTGCTGAGGAACTGATTTTACCTGCAGCGGTTGATATGGTATCAGTGATGATTGGAGAATAGACGGCTAAAGAAATAAAAAATGTACCTCTTTCAAACAATACAATTAGCCGCCGTATTCATGATATGACAGAAAATATTAATGAGCAAATTGTGAAAAAACTTTCAGGCTTATTTGCCATTCAACTTGATGAAGCGACGGATAGTAATGAAGGATAGTAAAACCAAGGCTCTAAATGTAAAATGGAAACACTGTGTCATACATAGAGAGGCTTTAGCTGCAAAGAAAATTACACCTGAATTAAATTTCGTGATGGATATAATTATCAAAGTGGTGAACTACATTAAAACCTGACCTGTGAAAGCGAGATTTTTCCAAAAGTTTTGTGAAGAATTGGGTGCCAAGCATACTTCTTTAATTTATTATTGCAACTCTCGTTGGTTGTCCAAATGCAATGTACTCGCACGTGTATACGAACTACGAAATGAGTTCTATACTTATCTACAGACAGAATCACACAATGATGCCCAAAACTTTATTAATACAGAGTTTATAATAAAATTGGCATATCTCTGTGACATATTTCAGAAATTAATTGATCTTAATAAGTCCTTGCAGGGAAACAATACTCACATACTGCAACTGGCAGATAAAATCACTGGGTTTCAGAAGAAGTTGCTCTTATGGAAGAGAAAATTAGAAGAAGATCATGCACATACTGACTGTTTCCCTGCTATACAATGCATTCTGCAAGAAAACTCGACAGAAAGCCTTGATCCCTCTCTACTCGTAAAACTAATATTTACACAGCACTTGTCATCATTAAGTGAACAATTTGAAAACTATTTTCCCGAAAATTTGGAGCAATATGACTGGGTTAGAAACCCTTTCCAGTCGACCGCACCTTCAACACTTTCGACAAAGGAAGAAGAACAATTAATAGAATTGTACTGTGACTCCAGCCTTAAGCTCCAATACGACAAAGACAAACTGCTTGAATTTTGGAGCTTAGTTTCTCACGAATATCGCGCCATCAGCTGTGCAGCATTGAGGGTTCTATTACCATTTGCCACATCGTACTTGTGCGAAACAGGCTTTTCTGCAGTTGCAGTAATAAAGAACAAGTACAGATCGAAAATAAATATAGCGAAAGAGATGAGAGTGGCAATTTTTAAACTTGAGCCACGTTTTGAGAAGCTATGCTCAGAAAAGCAAGCACACCCTTCTCGTTAGTACCTAGCCAACAAACTATCTCTTTTCATTTTTGTTCTTGTTTTTTTTTCTCTTATTATTTAATTAAAATTATAAATGTTATTTGCAGTTTTTCTGGTATCTTATTACTAGGCCAGAATTACAACTGGTAGGTATTTTTTGGCCAGAGGAGGGGTCGTCGCAAAAAAGTGGCAAATTCCCAAGGTTGTCACAGTAAAAATAAGTTTGGGAAGCCCTGGTCTAAGCGATTCGCCTGTAAAGCTCGTTTATGGACCGCCGTTTTGTGAAACAACGAGCCAGACCAGCGGTTTGCCAACGTTGTATGAAATTTGGCACGTTGCTTTAACAAACTAAACAAAAACTGTTCGACTCGACAGTGTATAAAGAAATACGATCCGCGAGTAAAGCCGCCCTATCTTTACCACAAGCTTATGGCTCGCCAGTCGATTAGAGATTTTAGGGTAAGCCCTGATTGAAGTGCGTGTGGGGCGTAGCGGTGCATTACTCATATACATAGACCGGTCGGCGGGATATTAATATACAACACCATGTGTTTGTCATGAACATTACGTGGTAGAGCCACGTAGTAGAAACACATGATAGAGCTATGTTGTAGCTATATTACTGAGGTAAAGCCACGCTGCAAATACATAATATAATTTATTATGTTTTTAGCATAAAAGGATCAGCTCGACCGGAAAAGGGCCATATAATTTATAATAGGAAAACGTAAACAACTTAATGCTGGTGTGTTTCGTATGGTGAGTGTAAAGAACCAGACATCCTTTTTTACTAGAAACAAGGCATCGAGATCACCCCTGAATCTACTAAGAATAACTAAGTTAACAACTTATTTGCGTTTCGTTTCTCAATCGAGGATAGTGTAGATGTCTATGGGCCACAGTATTCAGTTATCATTAGTTGAACTTTGTGCTCGTTTATCGCACTTATTATAAAATTGTAATAGTTTATTATATTTATAGTTTATTATAGTTATAATAATTAAAATAGATCCACTCCGCCACACGCTTTCATTTAGGCCTTAAAATCACTCTCCATTGAAAGGTTTTATAAATAAATTGAGAAATAAAATGTTTATCAGACAAGAATAAACATTCATTCAATTCCATTAAGAGCTCTCGTGAATTCATTTAAGATGTATTGATTGAGATTGGTCCTAACTGCGTATAAACTTTATAAATTAGATTTAGTCTTTATTTAAATTATTGACTATTGTTTATTGTTTCTAATTGTATTATGTGTATATGTTTTGTATAGATTATTTCGTTCAATGGTTCGGAAGGTTAAGAAGTAGCGGAATTATTAACAGATAACTTTTTAATAGTTTAATACTATTATTTAAATGAATTATAATAGTACCAGCTTGTAGTGGCGTATAGTGGTGCCACGCAGGGGTGACGTAAGATAATCTACCACCCCACATGATCCCTTGGGTGTCGTAAGAAGCGATGGAAGGAGGAAAACAGGGGATTGGATGATTATCATGATCACTAAAGCCCACAAAAGTAAATTACCTCATAGAGGGGATATTTGCCATAGTTGCCATGCTTGGGAGGTGAGTTGGCAAAGGATTTTTTATTTCCTAGTTGTTATTTACAATACGCTGTGATTTTTTTATACCGCCACTACATGGTACAAACAAACGCTTAAGTAAACAATTAAAGAAGTAAAATCAAGTTAAGCCTAAATACGTCACTATTCTGGACACAGGCCTCGATATAGAATCGAGAGTGTGTTTTTAGGGCAAGGAAGTGTTCACCGCTCTGCCCAGTGTGTGTTGGCGGCCTTGATATATCTTGGATTCTTTAAATTTCTTTGACAAGCAAGTTTTCTCACAAATTTTTCTCTACACGAGCAAACCTCTTTCTTTCTCCTGACTTTGTGCACTTGGTGAATTAGCGCTTAATATTGAAACCCGGAACCCCGTTTACTCGCGTATTATGAATTGTACAACGAGGGTTTAGCTCTTAAGTACATCGGCTCGTCTGAGTTACCACGTCATGCGTCAAGCATGTCTAAAAATGTATTTCATTGTAAATATATTTCATTTTATATAATCAAAATCTTATAGTAGAGTTTTTATGATCACAAAAACGCTATATTCATATTTTTAACATCATCAAATCCCACGGCGTATCGTTCTCTGAACAGACTATGCATAAATTATTATTGAAATAGCTTCGTGGCGTTTACTTCATTCCCAGAGGTTTTATGATTTGTGTATCACCTTGTTTTGGTGTAGATCAATGACACTGCCTTTGTTTATTGTTATTATGTTGGCATTTTACGTTTTCTGGAACTTCAATGTAAAAAGTGTGCAATCTCCATGAATAAATAGATCTTCATAAATGTAAATTTAATTTTTAAATAAAACTAATTTTACGGATTTTATCGCGTATATTAACTTATTTTTAACTTATTTTTATATTAAATTAATATTAAAAAACTGAAGGTAGCCGGGCTAACTATGACAGCAGGACGTCAAACAACTCAGTCCCCCGTGACCACGGTTCTGGAAAGCACCCGAAACGTCGGGAATATAAAAATTTTTAAAAATGTGTAGTGTTCGCGTAAATATAAGAAATCATTATGTAAATTTAATTTTAGTTTGCTCAGTGACGCTGGATGTTTGCTCCTTGTGCAATTTATGTTTGTAAACTGGCTACACGATACAGAATAAATTCTTAATATGTGGATTACTTGTAGTAATTACAACATGATAAGGCGAATTCTGTAGGAAATATAACAGGAAATCCCAATTCTGATCTCGGAAAAATCGGAAATACATCAGGCGTTAGCGTTGATTGTTCAAATAGTAAAAGTGTGAGAGCGGATGTTCAATTTGCTCTCTTACTTACACAATTAATCATTATCTATTATTATAATAGAACTTTAACACGAGGTCTGTCTGAACACGGATATCGCAAAAACCTGTGAACCAATTTGGATGGGATTTGCACTGCCAGATGGCTGATATTATATGGAGTAACTTAGACTACTTTTATTTTAGGAAAAGAATTAGGGTTCTGCCCAAAAAGATTAAAACCCAAGAAATCCAATCGCAATAAATTCCACGCGGGTGAAATCACGGGGAACTGCTAGTCAGTAATAATAAAAGACAGCGTAACGGACTATACATTCAGTATAGAGCAATTACAGTTCCAATATGTCCACGACACAATCAAACACTGGTGCAACGTGAAGGACACAATTACATGAAGAACACCAAAGTTGCAAACCAATAGCAAAACCACCCATCTCTACGTACACAGGGCTGCCTATCAGCAACACCATTCTCCTTGCCTTTACCAGAAGAACCACCACCACGTACAGAACTGCGACACTTTTTTTATAGGATAGGGTGACAAACGAGCACACAGTCCACCTGATGATAAGTGGTTGCTGTGGCCATAGACATCTACATCTATCCTCGTTTGCGAATCAAAATGCAGATGCGTTGTCACCCGTGAGGACTAAGATGGAATGCCTCTTTTTCATAAAAAAGGGTCTCCGGTTCTCTACACTCACCATACGAAACACAGCAGTGTTTCGTGTGGTGAGTGTAGAGCGTCAAGCTGCTATTTGACGCTTGTATTCTGTGAGAGCGTGGTCCTTCCCCGGTCGAGCCGACCCATTCGTGCTACAACTATACTACTAATACAGCTGCAGCATGGCTCTACCACGTACAAAATCACTATCTCAGCACTCGTAGAATGACTTAAGCGGAGCCTCCCGCACTCGCCACCTCCACGGAACTTTATACTGCAGAAATCCCGATCTACCCTCAATTCTACCCCGCCACCATCGATATGACGCTCCGCTAGAGTAACGCAACCTGTAGTTCACTCTCCATCCATCTGGTACTTTATACATTGACATACTTTTTACAGTCATGATGAATTGGATTTGCGGGACGAATGAGCCATCTTCATTCAGTCGCTTTCATACGATAACAGCATAGTTGTAATATACAAGGGATCAAGCAGCGAATAAATACTGTAAAATAAAACTTCTGGGATAGATATACGCGTTTCTACCAGTTGACGTGTGCATAGATGAAATATTCGACTGGAAGAACTATCAGCAGTGGATGAAAACTTGACCGTGTAGAGTCTTTGTAAGAACCTATATCGTCCCGTCGGTTTCGAAAGAGGCAATAGAGGGAAGCAAATCAGCAGATGTGCAGAAGTATCTTCCTGTTAACAAAATAACACTATAGTTATAAACCCGCAGACCAAACCGTCGAGCCCCGACGGTTCGACAAAAAATGAGATTGACTTCATTATGACGACCAGACGACAACTGTTCAGTGATGTCTCAGTGATCGCGAGGGTGAAAACCGGCAGCGATCACCGAATGGTTAGAGGAACACTGAACCTAAACGTTAAGTTAGAGAGGTCTCGTCTAATGAAGTCAATGCTCCGTCCCCCTCGTGCTCTAATCCAAAGTCCCGAAACCTTTCACCTCGAGTTACAAAACCATTTTCAGTGCCTAGAAGACTGCAATGAAGTGGACGATATGAATGACAAGCTATCAATGCGGTCGGAGCTAAGTTCTGTAAGACCCGCCGCAGAAGAACACAAAAACTCTCCGATCACACTCTTAATCTCATGGCTGTTAGACGGGAGATGAAGCTACATTCTTCGACCGATTTGACAGCATTTGGCAATTGAAAAGACAGATCTCCAAATGCATGCGGCGGGACTTACGCAACTTCAATACAGCTCGTATTGAAGAAGCGATCGAGTGGAACCAAGGCTCTAAAGTCTTTGCCAGAGATCTCTCTGCCAGAAAGAGCCAACTGTCAAAGCTGAAGACAGAATGTGGCAGCATCGTTTCCGGGGCACTTGAGAATTTGAGTGAGATTGAGAGGTTCTATGGGCAGCTGTACACGTCATCGTTGGAGCCACACGCGAGTGTGAGTAACGATCCAAGAGCGAGTCTTATCCGACATTATTCCTATGATATCCCGGACGTCAGTCTGAGCGAGATTAGAATGG